TGATCTGTCAGTGTGTGATTGCTACTGTGTGTTACCCTGCTCTGAGCTGTCAGTGTGTGTATTTATTTATGCAATCATGCTTGAATTGGTCCTTGTTCCTGTTTTTTCTTTGTCGAAACAGGATTATTGTGACTTGGGACAGCAGTCATGGGCAATTCTAATTCTCAGAGCCTGGAGAGAAGGTACTATTACGATTTAAACTCAAATGCACCTCAGGTCTAGGACAGCTGGTCCGGCCATTCAAGTCCTGTGCTGTCCTTGGCTCTGGAGTGGCTCTGATCGCGTCTCGATCTCTCTCTCCTCTGCTCCAGCACGTCTTTAGACTGCCTGATTCCTGAGCTTGAGCAGGAGGAGGGAGAGAGCCCCCTGCTGTCAGAGCCTCAGTGCTCCAGCTCCTTGGGCAGTTCCTCCAGGCCTGAAATTATGCAGTGTGACCACGAGTTCACGAGTACAGTCAGGAGAGAGGGGGTGAGTTGTGATATTGTTTTCTGTTGGGTGACACAGAGGCTGGCTTATAGAAAGCTGCTTCTCTTCTTGATGATGCCACCAGCCTGCCAACCAGGCTACAGGGGGCATCTTGAAACCCAGATGGTCTTTCGCCGCCCTGCTGGGGAATCCTGGTGTGGCACGTGCACAGTGTACACTGTGGGATGGGTGGACATTAACTGACCTGTGATCCTCGTGCAGTGGCAAGCACGCTAACCAGGGTGATATCAGAGAGAGGTGCCCTTCCAGTGACCTCTGCTCCACACTCCCACTACCCTCTGTGTAAAGTTAAATGCCTCCTGGTCTCAGTTTTAAACGTGTTCCACCTCCAGGGCTCTGGCAGGCCCATTCAGCTGGTCAAGGTCAGCTCTGATGGCTCCCTCCTGTTCCAAGAGGACGTGCTTCGGCAGTGTTTCCTGCGCCCAGATGTGGGGGAGACTCCGGTCTGCGTGGTGTCTATTGTTGGGGAGAGGAGGAAGGGCAAGTCATTCCTCCTCAACTACCTCCTTCGCAAGCTGTCTAACATGGTGAGAGCACCCCACCCCCTCCACTCTCTGTGTAAAGCAGTGTCTTATGGCCCTGACATCCCACCCCCACCACTCTCTGTGTAAAGCAGGGTCTTATGGCCCTGACATCCCACCTCCACCACTCTCTGTGTAAAATGCTGTCTTATGGCCATGGTTGTGAATGCTCCCTTTCTTGTGAACTCAGGACGAGTGGGACAGGATGAGTGACAGTGAGCCTCTGCGAGGGTTCGAGTGGCAGTCTGGAAGTGAGAGCATGACGAAGGGTGTGTTCATCTGGAGCCAGCCTCTGTTCCTGGAGACGCAGGAGGGAAAGGCAAGCACCGTCCGAGCTGGGAATGTGTCTGTTGTAGGGGGTACGGATCTATGGCTCAGACAGGCGCTGGTCCAACTCAGTCTTTCACAGACCCTGCAGGCATCCTGAACAGGCAGGAACAAGAGCTCTTCTGCCCCTCACCAGCCCCTGGGACCCCCTTGTCCACACTCGGGGCATCTGTGTGACAAACCGGAAACTGTTCTCTGCTCAAGAGTGGGAAGATTTAGGTCATTGAGCCATTGGCTGGGCACCTTGCTCAACACTCCCCCCACCCTTTGTGTAAAGCTCTTTCAGCTGTGTCTTGGTACTGGAGGGGAGGGGGGACAGATGACCACTGCAGCTCTGCTCTGAACACTCTGTCTCTGTCCCCTCTGTCCAGTTGGCTGTCTTCCTGGTGGACACTGAGGGCTCCGTGGATCTTTCGCGGGAGATGGAGCTGAGTGTGAAGCTGTGTGCCCTGAGCGTCTTTCTCAGCTCGCACGTGGTGAGAATTGTGGGGTCTTGTCCCACCTTCCGGGGTGACTGTGAGCCCCTTGCTGCGTTTCAGAGAGCTCACGTGTCCCCCCCGTCCTCTCTCCCAGATCTTCAACGTTCCCTCTGATGTGACGACAACAGACCTGGACTACCTGGAGGTACAGCGCCCGGCCGCAGTCTTATCCCCCGATGTGCCACGCAGCACCTGCGCAAGGGAGCTGTGATGCAGCTGGGGGCTGAAACCAGGAGCCTCTCGGTATCACAGGTCCTTCAGCTGGGACTGTGTACCGGGGTGTGAGTTCGCCCCCTGCTGGTGACATGTGGCATGAGTGCAGCACTGCATGACTCGAGGTGCTGTTGTGTGTGATGCTCTGTGCTGCCTGGTTTCCCTCACACCGCTATATGAGAAGGCCAGTCCCATCTTTCCCAATAATGATAATGTTACTTTATTAGCCCCTATACAGTTTCTTGCGTTAGGAATTCATCTTTTTGCATACTCCAGCTTGCTCTCCAGCAGACACAGACAGGGAGAGATGCTGGGGGTCAGAGCACAGGGTCAGCCATTGTGCAGCACCCCTGGAACAGCTGGGGTTAAGGGCCTAGCTCAGGGGCCCAACGGAGTAGGATTTCTCTGTTGGCTGCAGCATTTGAACCGGCAACCTC